CCATCCTTACCCGCTCTGATATGCTCCCGCCCATTGTTACAGTCATGGTGTCAATCCAGCTTGTTACGGACTTCCTCACTTTCTCTGATCCTTCATTTCCCCCAGAATGATGCCTTTTTCAGTCAAGAGAACTGACCCTTCTTGACAATATGCTTGAAGTATGTAAGATGAGATTTCATCATCATTGTCTCTGATGAACACCCTGATTCACTTTCTCCAAGACAGATTTGTTTGTTCTTTTAATAGTACATAGGATATTCAATATTCTTCTCCCACACCACAATTCAAAGACATTAATTCTTCTTCAGTCATCCAAGCATATGGACACTATTAAAAAAAATCTGTGGAGTTTATCTTTCCCATGGCTTTTCCAGCCACTGAACTTGACTCTACCATTTGGATGGGCAGGAATATGCTAGTGGGGCTTGTTAGGCTATCCACAAGGGGATTGGCTATCTCACCATTCCACAAGGGGATTGGCTAGTCCTGCCAATAAATTGAATAGTTCTAGTATTAGATCAGACCTTCCCCACAGCAAAGAAAAGAAGAAGAAAAAGAAGCATCAAGAGAATCTAGAATGCCCTTTAGGACCAGACATTTTTGCTCCAGCTATACCTACAGCATAACAGCCATAGTTGAAGCAGAGGACAAGAGAGACCTTACATGAGAGGAGGCTTTCTGGTACCCCTTCCCCACCCATCCCTTAGACAGAATCAGAGCTAAGCTAAGAAGAGCCTTTGCGATGCCTTTCAGGTCAATGTTATCCATGCTCGGCATCAGGTGCGCAGCCCCGTCACCAGCATCGCTCGTACCAGTTTCTTCCATGTTAAGCGGTCTAACATCTGGCTGGCGGCTATCACCAAGCAGAATGTCAATGCCGCCATGGTCTTCGAATTCCTCTATAAGATGTGTGACGTAATGGCTTCTTACTTTGGCAAGATCAGTGAAGAGAACATCAAGAACAATTTTGTGCTCATATACGAGCTGCTGGATGAGATCCTGGACTTCGGTATCCACAGAACTCCGAGACGGGGGCGCTGAAAACCTTCATCACTCAGCAGGGCATCAAGAGCCAGACAAAGGAAGAGCAGTCCCAGATCACCAGCCAGGTGACGGGGCACATTGGCTGGCGTCGGGAAGGCAGCAAGTATCGCCGGAATGAGCTCTTCCTGGACGTGCTGGAGAGTGTGAACCTGCTTATGTCTCCGCAAGGGCAGGTGCTGAGTGCCCACGCGTCAGGCCGGGTGGTGATGAAGAGCTACCTGAGTGGCATGCCCGAGTGCAAGTTTGGCATGAATGACAAGATTGTCATCGAGAAGCAGGGCAAAGGCATAGCTGACGAAACAAGCAAGAGTGGGAAGCAATTGCCATCGATGGTTGTACCTTCCACCAGTGTGTGCGACTCAGCAAGTTTGACTCTGAACGCTGCATCAGCTTCATCCCACCAGATGGAAAGTTTGAGCTCATGAGGTATCGCACCACCAAGGACATTATCCTTCCTTTCTGAGTGATCCCGCTGGTGCGGGAAGTGGGGCGCACCAAGCTGGAGGTCGAGGTGGTCATCAAGTCCAAATTCAAGCCCTCATTACTTGCCAAAAAAATTGAGGTGAGGATTCCAACTCCACTGAACACAAGTGGGGTGCAGGTGATCTGCATGAAAGGCAAGGCCAAGTACAAGGCCAGCGAGAACGCCATCGAGTGGAAGATCAAGAGAATGGCGGGCATGAAGGAATCGCAGATCAGTGCTGAGATTGAGCTTCTGCCTACTAACGACACGGTAGGGCACGAAATGGGCACGACCCCCTATTTCCATGACCTTTGAGGTGCCATTCGCACCTTCTGGCCTCAAGGTGCGCTACTTGAAGGTGTTTGAACCGAAGCTGAACTACCGCGACCATGATGTCATCAAACAGGTGCGCTACATTGGCCGCAGTGGCATCTATGAGACCCGCTTCTAAGCTGTTCAGCGGCAGCTAGCCTGCCTCCCCACCCACTCTCGTCCACAGGCCCAGGCCCCCAGCTACTGCACATCAGTGTCTTCTTTCCTGCTTTGCTGCCTTCCCTTTGCACCAGCCCCTGCGTCTAGGTCTGGACCAACCCCACTGCAAGCGAGACTGGTGGGGCAGTCCCTGGGCTCCCTGGGCTGGGGGCTTTCTGGGGCTCCTGGTCCTCCAGCCGTTGCCCCTGGCCCAGTGCCAGGTTCTGTTCTGAGTTCTGTGACCAAAGCCAGGTGGGGCCCCTCTCCTCCCAACCCCTGTGGCCACATCTCTGTGGAGTGAGAGGGTTGGCTGCCCCTCACCTCAGAGCTTCCCCGAAGGCCAGTAACAGAACCCCAGCCCTCAGCCCTACTCTGCTTTGGGATAGTGTGAGCTTCATTTTGTACACTTGTGACTTTGTCCAGTTATAAACCCAATAAACTCTGTAGAGCGGAAAAAAAACAACAAAACAACCAGGCTTTGCCCAAATTTGTTGGACAATTTGCAATAGAGAGGCAAAGCCGATTTTTACAGGACTGAGAACTTTATGATACTGATCTAAAGTAATGAGGCTCAAGGTTGAGGGGCCTACATGCATATATTTAAGAAACTATTCTGACTGTATTCTGTTCCTAATCTGGATTATAACATTTTTACTTCCCCAACATGGTTCTGTGTGGTTTGTGAGGTGTCACATTAGATTTTAGATCTAGCAAAGCAGTAAAGGGTTGAGATGAATAGAAGGAGGTATGGGAGTGTGGACAACATGTCTGACCTCATGGGAATTGGTTTAGTGTTGTTGATCCTGTAGATGGGAGAAGCTCCCCTTGTGAAATTGATAAAGGTTGGACGTGGTCATCCCTACATGACCCTTTGTCTTTTTGCAAAATCAAAATAAAACCTATTGCCTCTTAACTGTTAGCAACAGATGAGAACTCCTTCTAATTTTTCTGGGGCTATCATTAGGGAACTAAACTGCCATATGTTTCGGCTGATGGGTTTGAACCAAAAACCTTTGAGTCACCAGTGGAGATTTTAACTATTAAACCATCAGGCTTCTTTCAGTGATACAAGATAATGTGTCTAATCTCTTAAGTTACAGGTTCGTCATGTGTAAGACGATAACACCCTCTTTTAGGGCTGTGCTTTTACATAACATAATCCATATAGCGTACTTAAGATTTGGCACATAACTCCAAGTTATCCTTTGTCATATATACATATATATATATATATACTAAAATAATGTACAACCATTGCTATAATAGAAACACTCAGTAGACAGTGATAAATTCAAGATTTGAAAAGCAAAACTTCTATATGAGGTGACTGGTTTTTCTTTTAAGCAACAACCAACAATTTTGGATTTGTTATTGTTGTTGTTATGTGCCATCGAGTCATTTGCGACTCATAGCGACCCTCTGTACAACAGCCCTAAACCCTGCTCTATCCTGTGCCAATCTCATTGCCTCTGACACACCCATCCCGAGTACCCCAGTCACTGAATCAATCCACCTCATAGAGGGTCTTCCCCTCCTGCGCTGTCCCTCTACTCTACCCAACATGATGTCCCTCTCTAAAGACCTGTCTCTCCTTGCAATATGCCCAAAGTATGTCAGACGAAGCCCCAGAACCCTTGCCTCCAAGGAGCAGCCTGGTTTAACCCTCTCTACGATGAATCTGTTTTTTTTCTTGGCAGTCTACGGTACATTCAATACTCTTCTCCAGCACCACAGCTGAAAGGCGTCAATTCTCCTTCTATCCTCCCTAGTCATTGTCCAACTCTCTGATGCATAACAAGTGATTGCAAAAACCATGACCTGTATCAGGCAGACCTTAGTCTCCAGAGAGACACTATGTAGATGTGTTTGAATGATAGTTAAAAAAAAACCCCAACCAATTTAATAAGCAGAATTTCTGTTTTAATAAACAGGATTATTTCCAGCATAATGAAAGGAAGCATTCTAGATATTCTGAAGTCTGAAATAATAAGTTTAGAAGACATCATCATAATTACGTTAACACATTGAATCTAGTTTTTTTTGTTTTAGAAATATACTTTTTATAATTTTATATATATTTAAAAGTACTATTAAATTCTTAAGCATAACTTTTGCTATATTAGGGCACATATTTTCCTTAGCAAGAATCATATTTTATTTTATAATGGAAATACTTAGGAAAAGCTGATCCAATTAATAGAAATATTAATTGACAAATATTGTAAGAATACATTCTATACCCCTATATAAACATTGCCTATAGTATAGGAAATAGAGAAAAATGAGGCTTTTCCCCTCTTCTTTCTGAGATTTCCTTTAAAAACATCTTGGCAGTTGGATTACAACTTCTGTGCTGCTGTTATTTATTTTTTTGTTTATATATCTGTTATTCATATGCTGTGGGATATGTTTTTCATCCATAAACCTTGAAATTTAATTCTCCATCATATACTTATGAGATATATGCAATTTATTGTCTCTGAAAACCTACTGGAGGGTCAACTTGGAGTTGGTTCCAATTCGAGGGCACATAATAACAATAGAGATATATATGGTCTATGTTATGAGCCATCAAGTCAGAACCTGCTCATAGCTGACTCTCCAGTGGGTTTTCAGAAGCAGTAAATATTATTGGAGGAGGTTGCTTATATTTCTCCTACAGAGCAGCTGGTGGATTATAATCTGCACCATAGAGATGATAATGGAACTTTTTACACTAGGTCACCAGAGTTCCTACAGTGACATTCATATAGTTACATGTATAAGCATATAAAATTATACATATAGGCTTGTTTTATAATTAAATAAATGAACATGACTTTGAATTATTATGTGCTTTATATTGTATCACTGCTTTTATATAGAAACTTTAGTGAGACGTCATTTCTATAAATATTGACTTAGGAAAGTCTATTTTCCCTACTAAGTGATTTTATAACATCAGATACTAAGAAAATAGTGATATATCTTTAGAATTATCACAATTATCTAGACATAGTGTGAGAAAGTCTTGGCAACTTACCTTGAAAGAAATTTCATACTGTTCTCCACCCCAGATTTCTAAACCTGGATCATAGCCACCCAACTCCCAAAACCATTTTCGATCCACAGCAAAGAGACCTCCGGCCATAACAGGGGACCTGTGAAATGAATAAAATAATCTTTAGAGGACTAAGAACATCAGGGTCATGGCATTTTGTTTGAATTTCTCTTTTTAAAAAGCAAACTAAGACATACAAATTGGTCACCAATTATGTGTACTGTTCAGGATTGGTTTTGTTTAAGCAATATAAATATAGGGTTCTGAAGTAGCTATGGGATCATGATAGGGAAGAACCCTTGTTACTAGACTTTATTTGCTTCACAGATTGTCACTGAATATTAGAAGCAGACATATTGAAAAATATCACTCAGTTTTCTGACTTTATCTCAAAGTGAAGAGGATCTCACATGATCAGACAGATACAAGGATCGAAAATACTGCTATAGAAAGTGTGTTTGATTTATTCCCTCATTATGTATTCCTAAAGCATCATTAAGTACAAGGCATCTCCACCTTACAGATTAGGAAATGGATAACAGAAATTGATTTTTTCATTAACATGCCACAGTTGGAATTTAAACTAAGTCTTTTCATTTTAATGATAGTTTTTTCAGACCTTCCTTGGTTTTAAAATAAATATCCCTTTTGCTTAAGTAATAATTTTTAAGTATTTAATTCTTGCTAGGATGCATTGTAGTCATGTTGCTGTGTAATAAAATAATTATAATCATTTGGACGCTGCCCTAAAATTTTTGCAGGCCAAAAATAGTGCTATTGTTTTAAATATTCACTATGCCTTGAATTTGCAACTAATTATGTGATTCATCCTCATAATGATCCTATTAATATCTTTCTTTCATACTGTTTGAGGAGTTCCTGAATGGTGCAATCGGTTTGCTTGGCTGGTATGCAAAGGGCTGAAGATTTGAATCTCATCAAAGATATCATGAAAGAAAGGCCTGGCAATCTACATACAAAAAATTAACTATTAAAATCTATAGGTTCCACACATGGGGACACCATGAATAATAATTGATTTGGCAGCATTTGGGAAAATGGTATCATGAAGAAAGACAGAGTGATTGAGAGATTGTTCAAACTCTGAGCAAGCATGTGGCAGAAGTGGAATTGTACTTAGGTTCTCCAAATTCCATCTTTCTGCTCTCCATTGCTACATTGCTTCTGTAGAACGCTTTTATGCAGGTCAAGCAAATATCTAAACGATTTTAGCAAACTTTGTGTCATACTCAGTGTCCTTGAGTTGGTCCTATCTCATAGTGACCGTATCCTCAAGGAAATTCCCTTTCAACTGATAGTCTTCTCAAAGTAGATCTCATCACAGAACATCTTATCTTATTGTTTGATATCATCACATAACTACCAACAGATAGCACAACTTCCACACCACTAAGAATCATGGTCCAGCCACGTTGACAGACCTTCTTAGCCATCACAAGCTTAGTTCTTTTAATATTTCAAAGATATCACTTCTCTCTTTATTTGTATTGCTTCTGATAAAAATTAACTATTATCCTTACCTGAATTTTAATATGTATATCTTTTTCACACTAGATGTTTTTAAAATTTTCTGTGTGTCACTAGGTTTGAGTATTCATTATTATATGGCTTGGCATTATTTTATTAATATTACTTATCCTTGTGACTACTTGAATTTCTTGGATCTTTATTTGTAATATTCATGAATTTAGATCATTATTCTAATTTTTTTCAGTTCCATTTTTAAAAATTCAATTAATTATATATATGAATGTGTATGTGACTGTAGCTATACATTTTGTTCAATTTTTAAAGCTTCTCTCTTTGGTTTCATTTTGCATAGTTTTATTCTACATCTTCAAATTTATGACTTTTTTTGCATTGTTTAATGTGCTAATAGTCTCAGGGCATTATAGTGCATGCAGTGTAGTTTTCCTATTTATAATTTTTTGTTTTGATCTCTTTTAAAAAATTCACACCTTATATTCGGTATTTAACTTTCATAACATTATATAGTTCTTATCAGCTAATTCTTATTTAGTTCTTGTTTCAATTGACTGAACTATCCATTTTTAGAAATAAACATATTTAAAGCTATTTCTTTTTATGTGTGTAAACTTTAATTGGATTCTGGGTTTATTATGTTTTTTATTTTTTGCTGGAAACTTTTATTTATCCACTTGAATATTTGTGAAGTACTGGGATGCAGGTGTAGCATTTGGAAATGGTTAAATCTTTTTTCATTTTACTTTTGAAAGATGTTAGACAGAACTGGAGCAATGCACAGTTTAAGGCAAATTATTCACTTCTCTTAAGGCAAGACCCTTCTGTGTGCTCCACTCAATGTCCTTTGAATCACCAGGTTTTCTAGTTCAGCTGGTGGGTACAGTCACTATTCTTGATCTGCAGTCTGTGTAAGCTCTGTGAATCATTATTTCTAATCCTTTTGAGTAGTTCTTTCCTAAGTCTTGTGTGGCTTCATCACAGCAGAATATTCTTGTTCTCTATTTTTTTCTCTCACTACAAGCAACTAAACGCATACCAGTACTATGCTCAATTCTTATGGGGATACTCTGCAGATCACTGAAGCTCTCTCTTTTTGTGGCTCTCTTCTGGTGTTCTGCCTTGGAAAGTCTGCCTTACTTTCCAGACTTCCCAGACTCTCAGCTCTACGTCTTCCACTCAAGCTGTGCTTTGCCTGAGGGTTCTCCCTTTCTTCACTGCAGCCGAGAAACCCACTGAAGTCTGTAAAGGACAAAGTCACACAGATTACTTCACTGTTCCCATCTTTTAGAGATAACTGCATTGCCAGATGCTCAGCATCTTGTGTGCATTTTTTGTCTCCTGTTCTTGTTTCAGAAAGGAAGGTGAGAGGCCCATACTGATCTATGTATTTAAGAGGTAGAAGTTTTCAGACTAATTTTAAAATATTAAACATATTGACTTAATTATTTTAAATAGACAATACATTTACATGGCTATAAAAATTGTATTAACACCTACGTGTATGGATTGAAATCATTGCTCTATTTTTTTCTTACTATAAGCAACCATTATCGTTCATTTTTTGGTAATTCTTATAGATAGTTCTTTTCATCATTTTTTTAAAATTTAAATTTATTATTAATTTCAGTAAAAATTTACAGAGACTTTGGATTTCTGTTCATTCATTGTTGCACTTTTCTCCCCTCCCAACCCTCCTCCACCCTAGTACAGTACCCTCTTGGAAAAGTAAAAGAAAAATTCTTTCATTGTTTTACAAAACCTCCCCCAGGTAGATTCCACCATGTAGCCTTCGCTCTAGACTCCTGTCATGACAAAAATACCTAATCACATATCCCTTTTAAACAGTTTTCTCCCTCATCTGTTTCAATGCAGTATACATTATTGAACCCATCTTTCTCAGTCTCTCCCCAACCTCAAGGCCAGTCCTGTTTTACAACAGTGGCACCATGCAGTATTTGTCCTTTTGTGACTGAGATGCTTCACTGAGCATAATGTCCTCCAGAGTCACTGATTTTTAATAATATTGCATGAGTTCCTTGTTTTTCAATGCAGCATAGTATTCCATTGTGTGAATATACCACAGCTTCTCTATCCATTCTCATTTTATTTTTAAAATTTTTATTTATATAAGTAGTTTCATTTACATTACATTTTAGAGCCCAGTGTCTTGGATAATCTGTTCTGCATATAGTTTGAAAAGATATGGAGATAGGACACATCCTTGACCCTTCCCAATTTTGAACCACGCAGTGTTTGCTTGCTCTGTTCTGACGACTGCCTCCTGGTCCACGTAGAGGTTTTGCATAAGCACAATCAAGTGTTCTGGGATTCTCTTTCTTCTCAGAGTCAGCCACAGTTTGTTGTGATCCACAGAGTTAAATGTATTTGCATAGCCAATGAAACACAGACATTCCTCTGGTACTCTCTGCTTTCAGCCAGAAATGTTCATCTGTCATTAGCTATAATATTTGTAGTGCTGCAGCCTCTTCTGAATCTAGCCTGCACTTATGCAGTTCTCTGTTGATGTGCTGTTCCAGTCGTTTCTGGATAATATTCAGCAGAATCTTGCTTGCATGTGATATCAATAATATTCAATAATTTCCACACTCTGTCAGATCACCTTTCTTTGAAATGGGAACAAGTATAGATCTCTTGCAGTCAGTTGGTGAGGTGGTTGTCCTCTGGATTTCTTCGCACAACTTGGTGAGCACATTCAGGGCAGCATCTGTTTGTTGAAATATGTCAATCAGTATGCCATCAATTTCTGGTGCCTTGTTTTTTGCCAATTCTTCCAGAACAGCTTGAACTTCTTCCTTCATTACCACAGGCTTTTGCTCATACATTGTTTCATTAAATTTTTCTGTGTCCACCAATTCCTTTCGGTATAATGTCTCTGTATACTCTTTCTATCTTCTTTTAATGCTCCCTGGATCATTTAATATTCTTCCCAAAGCATCCTTAAGTATTGCAACTGAAGGTTTGAATTTGTTCTTCAGTTTTTCAGCTTAAAAATGCTGAGCAAGTTCAGCCCTTTTGATTTTCTGACACCAGCTCTTTGCACATTTCATTGTAATATTTTACTTTGTTTTCCCACGTTGGCCACTGGAATCTTCTTAGTATCTTTCTTTCTTTTTTTTTTTTATGCTTTGGCTTCTTGGTACTCTACTGCAATATTTAGAGTTTCTGCTGACATCCATCTCAGTCTTTTCTTCCTTCTCTGTCTTTGTAATGACCTTTTGCATTCTTCAGGGATGATATTCTTGATAACCTCCCACAGCTCATTCAGTCTTCCCTCATTAATACCTGAGGCCTCAAACCTGTTCCTGAAATGGTTTTGAAACTCAGGTGGGATAGACTCAAGGTCAGATTTTGGTTCCTGTGGGATTGATTTCATTTTTCTCAGCTTCTACTTGAAGTTACATATGAGTAGATAGTGATCTGTTCCACAATCAGCACCTGGCCTAGTTTTCACAACTGATATTGAGCATCTCCAGAGATTCTTTCCACAGAATCGATCTGATTCCTATGCATATAATCAGGTGAAATCCATGTGTATAGCCTGAGTTTGTTTTTTATAAAATATATTTGCAATGA